AATATGGCACTCCGATATGAATAATATCAGGAGCACCTATAGGGCTATAGATCTAGCATTACACTTACCGTAAGTCGTATTTCCACAAGCTCCTTAAAATTCAAGGCAACAACACGAACACATGATCTAGTCAGTTAAAATTGAAAATCCGCCATATTTATTCAGCACCTTTCTGATCCATTCTCAAAAAGCAACGATTCCCCTCCACAATAATGAACGTGTGCATAACACTAAGGTTTTGGTAACAAGCTAATAAAAATAGAAACAGTTATGGTGATCTTTGATATTCAGTTCGTCTTCACTAACATCAAGGCCACGGATATTTTGAAAATTTAAAGCGGATGTTTGTTAATACCACGGATAGGAATAAAATATCGGTGGAATAAAAGCACTATTGAAGTCTGGGGTGCGCACATGCTTATGCTCAACGGAATTTTTGTCTTTCAGTCAAATGTTACCTCTGACATTTGTGTGAACAATGAAGTCTCTGGCATCCGTTGTTATCTTAAGCGTTTATTCACAATCATTGTAGTGTAATAAAAGCAGCCATGCTGAATATTTGAGGAAGCCTCACTATTCAAGTCCATTCAAGTTTACTGCCATGAGATGAAAGCTACAATATGTTCCGAGAAAATGAAGCAAAAATGATAGAATAGACAAAAGATAATGCATGGATATTCGTCTGCTACTGGAAAGTTATACTGGACCATTCCCATGAATGACGTACGTGGATGTCTAAGGGTTTGGATTACAGCCTTTCAGTTATCGGTCTGAGTTTGTAACTCCGCGACGACTGCAAAATTTGAGCACTTTAACATTTCATACTTCTTTCCAAAGAGAAACCATGAATGGCAATAAATTTCATTTTCAGTTGCAACCGACATTAAATTATTCTACAACAGCTTTTACGAGTAGTAGGCGCTTTCAACGGGCTTTAATGGGATCTAGACACTGTGTTTTTGCGTTAAGGTTAAAAATATTTAATTTAATAGTCTCATTTTATTATTTAAATAGCGTAGCTCGAATTTAGGTAGTGCGCAGCCAGTACAAAATTTTGAGCAACATCAGCAATGCCTTGCATCTCAAAATGGCAAGCCACCTGTAAGAAAGTTCTGTCTTGTAGTAGTTGCATTATTATTTATTGGATCATAACCTTTGCTTTGCAGTTGGCTTTCTTCTGATAGACATTTGAATGATTTTGATTTTAGTATAATTAAAAAGGTATGGTGATAAGTTTAAATGGAACATATTTAGTTATAGTTTAACTATGCACCAGGACAAGCCATGCTGAACTGATTTTCAATGACTTTCCTACCTGTTGATTCAGTTTATCGTCCGCTCCACCGTTATTTTTTCCAAAGCCTTTCTTTCTGTCATTTGGCTCCATAACAATCGACGCTGCGTGCGTTTCACATTGTGTATCTTCGGTCACCCATAGAAGTATGGATCCTGGCAACCGTGTACTTCTGACCTTAGAGGAATTTTACACTTCCCCATTCTAGCTTTATCGCTGTTGTGCCTGATGACGATCAGGCTGATTAGTCGGAAGACATGCGTGGCGGAACTTGAGCTTAGCAGATCTCGTAGGACCCTTCGAACATTCTACGCGCAACGGTAGTACCAGTTTCTAGATTTCTATCAAGAAGAATACCATTTCTGTGTAGCCGAAATTTTGAAAACAGTATAATAAAGGTTTCGTAACATCAGCTTTTGTCCTGCATTCAAATTCGCTGAATCAAAAACTTACAGGATTATATTTCTATTCAGTTTGCTGGCTTCAGTTTAGCAACAAATCCATAATAAAATATTTATTTTTGCTTCATTTCAGTTTGCTTCTGATGTCTTGGCCTTCTTATTCTTAATGTACCGCTAAAGGCAGATTTCTGTGGCCAACTCGAGCAACAGTAAATTTTCGTTATTATCGGAATCGTCCGAGGTATTTAAGACATCTCTGTTGTGCAATTCAGCAAAATGATTATGCTAATGTTGGTACTAGTGAAAAATGTGCCTTAATTTGCCTTACAGTATAAAATTCAGCACCGCGCCGCGTCTGCCTACGTGTGGATTTTCAATATTTAAAGCTAATAAGTTTGGTTTCCATTGGATTTTTAGATTTTACAATTTGAGGCCTTTTAGTTTATCACTGGAATATTTTTCATCATGGCTTCTCATCCAGCACCAATCAAATCCGTTCAAGTTTTTGGCCGGAAAGTACGTAGGAAATTGCCTGTTTTGGTGTGCCATATATTGTACGTATGCATTCGGGTCTCATTTTGTTTAGTTGCTTAAGCTGTATATAATCTTTATTAAGCTGTATATAGTCTTTAAATATTTTTGCCTAATTATTTCACAAAATCGATTGGTTTCTCTGACATTTGTTTCGAAATTTTTCTCAGTTTTTAAAACTAAGCTATTTGAAAAGTTAATTCACTAGGTGAAAGTTCAGTTTACTAAATTCCTAAAACATCTGATGACCTAGACTCCTAAGGTTTTAAGCCTTTCTTCGGACGTCTCTTGATTAAAGATTCATTATTTATCAGTTGGATTGTATCTTGATACATGGTTTAGTCATGCGGTATTGGTGCAGGTATTAAGGTGTACAGGTATAAAGCTGATTCTTAAGCCTTAAGTGTAAAACTAAATTTTGCTTAAGAGTTGAGGGTTTGATTAGTGATTCCAGAAAAATCTTGAGGAAATAGCCTTTTGTGCCGCAATTCTCAAAGCCTGCGCTTTCACTGCTTCGTTTCAGTTCTGTTCGCAGTGTAGTAGGAGAGAAGTTTCATGACTTTAAGATTGGCCACGATCTGCTTATTGATATCTTCTTGAAGTTATATTCAGTTTGTTACTTGAACCATATCGATGGAATATGCTGGCTACTTACTGATAGTCATACTGAAATCTTGAATTTCAAAGGTGAAAATCTTGTCCGCTGGATCCACCTGGCTTTTGACCACATCTCTCGAAAGTAGGATCTTTGAAGACTGAAAGAGAGGTTTGATTATACCGATCTTTGCACTGACGTACAAACTGTCGCGTTATTACCTACCTGTCGGTGGTGAAGAATGTCTTCACACGAATCATTCTTGAACGACTATGTAAATCGATCGATCGTTTGCTGCAGATTAACCGAACAAGTTTCGAAAGTAGACATTCATGCAGGGACAACTAAACAGAAAACCGTAGAAAAGTGTTTGAGCTTCCATCTTCGTGACATGTAACTTTTCTTGACTTTTGGTCAGCCTTCGGTTCAGCTCTTCGCCAGACAGTGTGGCGTGTTTTTCTCACAAAAGAATTCCAGTCGGTAGTAAGTAAATTTTATGTAAGGTTTGCACAGGGGACCAAATGTGGTGTCTGAAGGATCACTGTTGGTGGATTTATTCAACAATGTCAATGAAGTTCATCTAAGTAAGGTACTCACTCATTTGTTGTTCAAGGTCATGAAGGATTACGTTATGCGGAAGTAATAACGTCCCCCGAAATAGCAACGAGGGACTGACCGACCGTTAGTCAGCGATGCAGCTCGAGATAACGGACGATATTCCCAATGCACCTTAATTATGCTGAGCGGCACCATAAACTGCCTAATGACACTCACTGAAAGTCGGAGCTGCATTGACTAATAGTTGCGACATTGATTCTGAAGTGAATCGGCATATCCAGCTGGTATGAGCGAATTATGGTAAGCTGTAGGATATACGGAAGGATCGTACTATGAGAACTTAGACGAAAGTCATCATTCCGAAAGCTGTTGTGTTTGCGACGCTCAGGTACACCCTAGAAGCATCTGATATCCCGAAGCGTCATTTAAACGTTTAGACGACTTTCAACGGTAAGAACTATCCTCAAAGTGCGATTTTACTTTCGAATCACGAATAAGCAGGAGCTGACAAACACGGTCTGAGAAAAATATTAGATGAACTCAGGATCCGGCACCTTGCTTCTTTTGACAAAACGGTTTTAAAATAGGATTGAGTTCTTTTCAAAACTTTCCCTTGGGAACTGTGCACTGGCTATAGGCGTGTTGGAGGACAATATAATAAATGGAGCACCTCTTTGAAACAGACATCAACAACAGGTCATTCTGATAAAGCAATAAAATCATGCAGAAAAAGTAGTTAAACTGTTAGTGTAGACGGCTCACTCATGCACATTGCAATATAGTGATGTGTCAAGTGTTTGATTATTAATACAGTGGTATCATCCTTGACCACAATATTGCGTCGGCTGTAAGTAAACGACTTTTGTGCACTTTTTATTAGAACTTAAATTTTTATTAAAGCATGGTTCAGCTTTAAGGTTTCTAGGAGCATCGAGCTGTGTGATTGACGCCGGTTTTAGTTGTAATTCTTTGTCACTTTATGTTGTTACGGGATGCAAACTGAAACAGAGGGAGATTTTGACTGGAGAATTAAGGTATTTTTAAACAAATAGTATTTTGACGTTGCTGTTACAAGTTTATTTAAAACACGCTGTTCTACAGTTTATAATATTATTAGCGGATTTAATTAGATGATTATTATTACCACATAAGGTTAATTTAATGCTCTGTTTCCCTAAGAAATTAATTGTTGTATAATTTCAGAGTTGCGTCGAAATACTCATTCTTTGGAATTATATGTTCTGTACTCAGAAATTCATA